CTTTAAATTGTGACAATAAGCCGGCAGTTGGGCAAACGATGCTTCTGGCGACCCCCTCAACAATTCCAAGGCATAACATTTGGCTCTCCAAGCTTGAGAATATGATATACTAATCTTGAACCGAGCATTCATGTCAGTCATAATTTCATGTCCCCGATATACCCTGCCATTCAAAAACATTAACTCAGCCAGAAAACCACCCAACACCTTTTTGTTTGCCTGTCTATGGTGAGGAAAAACTTGGGTTCTTGAACATGTATGTTTATCAATAAAAGTCCTAACTTGAAACATTTTGCAATCTTTTATTCTCTTTGCAATCATACGCCACGTACAGTTTTTGTCAATCATACACCTTGTTTCGAAACGATCTTTGCTTGATTTGTTAACTTTTAGTTGATAGCCATCTTCCACACATTTCGTATATAAAGCTATCTTCAAGTCTTCCTTTGTATCAAAACAATCATCTTTCTTGATACGAATAACTTTTGTGTAACAATCAACTGCTTTCTTTATCAACTCTTCTTCCGGTATCTGAAGTAATTCTGGCATATTCCAGTTATACGCCCGTGGCATTTTCTTTTCTTCGGGGACTTTTTCTTCTTCTTTTTCTTCTTCAGGATTATATGAATTACAGAATGGATGTTCAACATGTTCATTCACAGTCGTAACTTCCTCCTCATTATCATCAACATTACATTCTTCGGCAACGGCTGTTTCATCATCAAAATTCGGGTATTGACCAATATCAATATCATTACACGCATGGTCTGTTTCTTCTTCTGAAACATCATCAAAATCCGTGTATTGACCAATATCAAAGTCCGGATATTGATCAAGACCAAATTTCGAATACTGACTAGTACTCACAATTTTTTCTGTTGGCTCATCATCGTCTAACTGGTCAATACGAAAACCGGAATTTGGTGCTGAAAGTTGATTGGGATTTGGATTAGAGAAAGGTTGTGGGTTTTGAGAAAAACTTAGTTGATTACTACCCGCTACTGACCCAACAATACTACTTCTAGGTTCAACAACATACAATGTAACATCATCTTGTGAAACACTAATGTAAGCAATGAATCGTTCAACATCTTCATTGTCGGTTAACAAATAAACTTTACCATTTCTCTGATAAGATAGCCTAAATCCACTTAGGGGCTCTAAATTCAATTTATTTGAAACACGTAGCATTAGAGTTTCATAAGTTAACTTTTGTAAAGACAATTTTAGTTGAAGATTTATGGGTAAAGGCATATATTGTAAAACACCATTAACATTATCCCATGACCCTCCAAAACACAAATCTATCCAAACATGATCAACATTAGATGATTTCATGGTTGTAACTAAACAAACGAGATGCGAAACTAAGACCTGTTGCCGGATGGGGAAGGATGTCGTTGGATATAGGAACGGATGTCGCCGGAGAGAGTGATAGATGGAGATGGAATGAGTTGCGATTTAGGGATTTAGTTTATGATTTCAGTGTTATATACCCAAAATTTCAGTGTTGTGATTTACAGATTCTCGTTGCGATTTACGGATTATCGTTGCGATTTACAGATTCTCGTTGCGATTTACGGATTATCGTTGCGATTTACGGATACGCGTTGCGATTTACGGATTATCGTTGCGATTTACGGATACGCGTTGCGATTTACGGATACGCATTGCGATTTACGGATACGCGTTGCGATTTACGGATACACGTTGCGGTTTACGGATACGCGTTGCGATTTACGGATACGCGTTGCGATATACGGATACGCATTGCGATTTACCCATACGCGTTGCGATTTACGGATACACGTTGCGATTTACGGATACGCGTTGCGATTTATGTGTTCGCGTTGCGATTTTCATATTCGCGTTGCGATTATGGAAAATCGCAATGCGAATTTGTACTATCGCATCGCGATTTTCAAGAATCGCGTTGCGATTCTGGAAACTGATTTGCGATTCTGGGGATCGCGTTGCGATTTTTATTTCGCGTTGCGATTTTGTTGGTCATTTTGGCAAATCCAAAAAAAGTTGGTTAAAATCGTATATTATAACTTTTTTTTGGTCACTGAGGCGATTTTCTCTATTGTTTAATAGCATAAATATTGTATCCAAATTTAATTATCAAAATATATCATATACATATAATATGGCAAGATACTCGAGTTTGACAAGTCTAATATTTAATAATATAAATATTGAATTTTAGATTTTGAGATTTTTTTTTTTTTGTAAATTAGTGTATTCTCTTCGTAAGCTGCTGAAGCTTCTTCTTACCATTGCTTGCGAGGCGAGTCGCCACTGCTCTTAAAAAACTTTCGTGCGACTATATCGAAAATTTAATCTCATATTTAATATATTTGAAAATCGCATTTTGATCTTTTCGATTAATTATCTTTTGATCTTAATTGATTGATAAAAAATGTCTTTTTTTAGGTAATAGCTGGCAGTGTTAAGAATTTGGTTGGCAAACATGGCGCATTTTGTGAAACCAGAGAATGCATTGAAGCGAGCAGAAGGTTAGATACAAAAAGAAATCCTTTACTAAGATCTGTTTTTCTTTTCTAATTGATTTTTGTGAATGTATGCGTACCCTTTGTTTGATGCTGGAAGAATTGTGCGCTTTTAACGTGAATCTGTTTTTGCCTTTGGTTTTGATGATATAGGTGATTGTGTGACTTTGTAATGGGGTTTATGCAGAGTAGATTAGCGTGGGCCAGATGAAGCAAGATGCATTGCAGGCGCTTCAAAATGTAATAACTCGAAAGAGCTTGGCAGAAGCCACTTGAAAACATAATGTTCAAATATGTAGAGTTGTATGGCAACAAGTGAATGTTAGTTCTTTGGAAGAGGTTATCAAGCACTTCATGCATCTTTCTACTGAGCAGGCTCTTAGTCAAGCACAAGACTTGGTCCGACCGTGAACTTGTTACACCTTGGATGGTTCAAGTTTATTTGGGAGACGTATGCAACGGTGCTTCAAATATTGCGGAACAATTTCAAGTTGACGCTATTTCAACTGTCCATAAATGTTGACCATTTCTTCAACTTTTCACTATATGAATTTCTAAAAATTTGTTTTCAGCATTATGATTGGGTTCTTGCATGCTGTTTCTTTTTCAGATTTTGAGACCTAACCCTACTAAATATATATTACTTGGGTGTGGCTTCCATACACTATTTTTCATAATAAATGCATTTATGTACCAAGTCGTATGAGGATACGAGTTGTGTGGGCCATAAATTGTTTTAAAATTTTTTACATACTGACATGGATTTTCGAATGCTTAATTTGGGGTTTAATCCTAATGAAAAACAGGGTTGTTGAGATTTTCATGGGTGTTTTCATTTGGATGAATTTGGCTTCATCTTATGCTCAAGGAATCCTGATTTCATTGGTCACAGAACTGGGTTTTTCTCGAGAAAAAAAAAAGTTTACATCTCTAGGAAATGGTAATGACCTATATGAGCTATCAAGTATTTGCATTTTATATTAGCGTAACCGAAAACCAATTTACAAAATTATAATTATTTTTTGTTTTAGGGGACTATTTTTTTAAGTTAAGTGCTTAATATTTTTCCGTTATTATTTTAAGTTTGATAAAGATTGTTATTTAATAAACATTCGACAGTTATAATAGTTTTTATTATTTTAAATGTTTTTTAAAAATAAAATCACCTATATGAGCTAATGTTTTGGAGAAAAATGATTAACTTAAGTTGTTGAGAAAATTAAATGTTGAGATAAAACGAATGTTATAATATCAATAGAAAATCTTACGAATTATTTGACATCTTTGAAAAGATGCACAGAAGATACAATATCTTTTTTAATCAATATATAATCTAGTAAGATAGATTCTGAGAACGTACAATCGTATAGTTTAGAAGTCGACAAATCGTCTAAATATCTTCTAAAATTCGTAAATTGATTCAAACAATTTCCGACGGATATTATAACAAACACCTTAAGCTGAAGAAGTACATTTTCACGCCACTTATATGAGGATATTCTCTTCTCCACTATATTATTTAAGAAGTTTTATCATTTATTTATTTTATTCTTTTATATTTTTTTCTTTCTTTTTCGACTTTGAATGTTATTGTCATCGATTAGACCATTTCAAACATCATAAAGGTAATAAAATTAAGATAAGTATTTAATCACTTAATTATTACTTTAGTTTCGTTTTGGTCATTTAATTACTTTTTAAAAATATCATTAACGTTATATTTTGATTTCATGTTGATCTTCGTTGTTTAAAAATCAACATAATTGCTAACCTGACTTTTTCTTTTAAATTTTTTCAATGTGAACGTGACATTATCTTACGGTGACTCGTCAATATCACTGTTAATTTTTTAACGACAGATAACTAAAATTAAACCAAAACATAACGTTAATGATATTTTTTAAAAAAATAATTAGATAATTAAAACATAACCGAAATGATAGTTGAATGATTAACTACATAATTTGCCCTTAAAACTACATGGTACGTTCATATTTGTCCATATCTCGTCACAACAATATTTAACTCATATTCATTAAATGAATTTATTATTTGATTCATCTCAGCTCCAATCAAAACACAAAATTTTAACTTCAAATTTTGAAACATTACATGAACAATGAATGAGTCATGACTTGATTCAAAAAGAAGTTTCATTAAACAAATGAATGTTAGAATCCTATCCTCGAAAGATAGGATAATGTCAGAATTATGATGATACAAAATATCTATTAGAGACACCAATGCAAGTAGATAAACTATAACTCATCATTGAACCTTAAACGAATTTCATTGTCAATTAATTCTGAAAACTGCTATTTACACAAATGATTGAGCCATCACCCCATCACTCCTGTTAGACTCCATTTTTCTAGCTTACTTCCCCTTCAATTCTCCAAGAAAAGAAAAAACAACATAAAACAGCCGTCAAGAACTATGGCATTATAAAAAAGCACAGGGAGTTTTATGGGTTAGGGTTTTGTTTTGGGGGTTTCAACATTGTCTCCGTCTCTAATTTGTTTTTCACGCAAAAACTAAGCCATAGGACAAAGCCATCAAAGAAACAGCAGCATTTTCTTCTTCCTCTCCTAACTTCCTTCTTCTTTGACACCTCTGCTTCTTCACCATCCATGTTAACGATGATGATGATCTTTGCAACAGAACTTCACTGCCCAAAGCAATTAATCTGATCTTCAATGGCTCACACAACTCACTAAATTTGCCACTAGGCTTCATGTCATCATCATCATTATCATCAACAGCGATATTATTTGTTGTAGGAGTAGAAGCTGAGCTTGTTGTGATGGTGCTGGATGATGATGATGAATGCCATTTTACTTTCTTATTCTCTGACCCTTTGTTCAAACCCAAAATTGCTCTTCTTTTCTTTTTATATTTTATCCCACATGCATTGCATAAGGTCTGAAATTACCAAAAAAAAAACCCATCAATCATAAGCCGTCGACACTTCAAAAAGCAGATGAGAAAAGGATTTAGGGATAAACCCAGTAAATGGTACTAAAGAAGACACTAAATAAACCCAAATTTTTTAGAGAGAAAAAAAGATTAAGGAATTGGTGAAATGGAAAGTTGAAATGATTGATAATACCTTGGGGCCAGCAGGGCCACCTCTCCAAAGAGGGGTCTTTGTGGTTTTGCAATCAGTACAAAACTTCTTGATAGTCTCCCTCATTGCAGCATCTTCATCCAATGATTCCTGAATCATAAACACCAATCAAATCAGAATTTAAAAGAAGAAGAAGAAGAAGCCTTTAAATTGAAGTTGAGTGTTGTTGTTTTCAATCAACCTTTGATTTCAGATCCAATACACCCATGATGCATGTGTAGAAAGAGATTCATTAACCAGCGGGAAAGAAAACAGAGGAAATGAAAAAATAAACTTAAGACATCAAAACCGAAGCTCCCCAAAAGGAAAGAGATGCTTCGGTGATGAACATAGGTAAAAAGGAAGAAAAAAAACATTCGAAAATGAAAAGAAAGCCAGCGGGAGAATAGAGCCGATATGGATAGATACAAAAACCCTAGACAGAGATTAATGAAAAGACGATAATGACCTTGCTAATAGCGAAGCAGCGCCGCCGCCGTTCTTGGTGAAAATGAAAATACTACGGAAACACCCGCCAAAATATTTTTGAGGAGGGCAATATCCACGTGTCAACAGGCAGGAGGGGGTAAGTTTTAGGTGAAATTTTATGATTAACCTTTCTGATATGCATAAATTATGAATTTAGTCATGTACTTTAATTTAATCATTTTTTAAAATTTTCATCCTCATCTAAACGATGATCATAATTTTTTTTTTAAATATTAGTCTATGTCATTAACTTTTAATTTGTAATTTCTATCATTAACACTCGCTCTGTCTTTCTGACTCCTTGATTTACTGTAAAATATTTCTAAACACTATACCTTTTTTCAGTCTTCCTCCTCGAGCAAATGTCTCGAGAATTTTCAGTCTTTTCATAAATCTCTAGAATTCAACAAAGCGATGCAATTATTAGTTTAGAAATTATACAAATATCAATCAAATTTAATACAAGAGAAATTTCTCAACGATTTAAAATATTTTCTTGATTGTTCTTTAAAATATTTTTAATTATTTTTTCTACAAAAATAACTTAATACATATCATGTGTCATGTGATATTTTCGTAGAATGTCACAAACTTTTAATAACACAAAAATGAGTCTGGGTAACTTGCACCACAGTTTCAAAATTAAGGGCGTAAACCGAACAAATTTTTAATTTATTGAATGATAAAATTATAGAAATTTGACCCTAAATTTATGATTTTTCTATGTTTTTGTTTTCTGCACAAAAATTTGGAATCTACATTTATACTAGTATTCACGCTTATAAGCATGGGATTATTAATTGACACTGAGTTATCAATTTTGGGTGGAAAATTGAATTTCAACATTTTTCGAAGAGGTGTGTAGTATTTATGAATTCAACCGATGTCACCTCAATACTATACTCCCATGGTTGTTCTTTATCACCTTTGAACCTCCAAAATTTCTTCTTATGAATATTTAATAAGTTATTTTATATTAATGACATAAAATATATACAAATCAAATTATATTATATTAAATTAGAGTATAGAATCTAATCACCTACTTAAAATAAATATTGATTAGATTCTATAAAGTGTTCAATCTCTTTTAAAAATATTGATATTATGAATAAAAATATTAACTTAAAAACAAATATTTATAATGCTCGATTTAATTTAATTAATTATTATTTTTTATAAATTCAGGGCAAATACAAGAAATATTTTTTCAATCTTAATTAATTAATGTTTTTATAAATCAAATCAACTCATAAATTAACTTCTTGCATAGACATGAAACTTTAAGTAATAATAACAAATCTCTTAATCATTGAAGTGATTTGATTCGTGTTAATTAATCAATAGATTAATTACTAACAATATTACTGAAATATATATCAAATTTAAATTTAAAATTTTAATTCGAAAAATAAAATAAAATAATAATATCGCTTGAATTAATGAATTAGTATTTTACAAGAGTCATTTATTAGGGACAAACACAAATGGCTAGTCCAAATTGACCTTTCGGGGGGTTATTTGACAATTTATAAAGCTCCCCTACTTAAACCCCATAGATGACCAAATCTGAAACACACCCACTTTGCTTATTTTCTATCTTATTCTATTTACATACATTTCACAATAAGTATCTCACCAATCACTGACTAAAAGAAATGGAGTCCCGAACCCCAAATGTCCAGACTCAACATCTCCATGAAGGCTACTACGAAAGCACCAGCTCCACACCCTTCACAAGTGCGCCTTCAAGACCTGGACGGGCGCCCGGACCAAGTCCCAAGTCCCGGGTTCATCAACGGCTGCTTCTTTTACAGTGCACCGTCTAGCCCTATGCATTTCGCAATGCCATCATCACTTGGTTCTTTAATAGTGGTGTCGTCATCAACAACCCAACCCTCTTCTCCTGATTTCGAATTCTCCGAGTCGTCGGGGCCGGGTCGAACAGGTTCCACGGGCTCGGCCGATGAGCTTTTCTTCGACGGAAAGATCAGACCCATGAAGCTATCCACTCATTTGGAAAGGCCTCAGGTTTTGGATCCATTGCTGGATCTAGAACACGAAGACGACGAAGAAGATTTAAGGGGCAATAAAGGTGACACCAACAAAGCTGGGAGAAGAAGGTCAAAGAGATGGATTTTCTTGAAAGATTTTCTAAGGGAAAAAAACGAAGGAAGAAGCAGAAACAATTATCATGAATTATGGTCAACAATTTCATTCTCTCAAGCAAAAGAAAAGAAGCCAAAAACCAGTGGAGGTGGTGAATCGAAGAAGAAACCGGTAAATGGGATAGGGAAAAGGAGGGTTCCACCATCGCCACATGAGTTGCTCTACATTACAAATAGAGCACAAGCTGAAGAGACTAGGAAGAAGACATTCTTGCCTTACAAGCAAGGTTTGCTTGGCTGCTTGGGATTTAGTTCAAGGAGTTATAATGCCATGAATGGCCTGTCTAGAGCTTTGAATCAAGTTAATTAAGGGCCGTGGAAAATTGTAAAACTATCATTTTTTATCTGACAAATGTTGCAAAGATCAATGATTTAGAAGAGGACTTCCCATCATTGATCCATTTGTGTAAGACGCGAGTTTATAAAAAAGGTAACAAAGGTTTCCTGTTTTTTCCCGTTAGATTATTGAAGCAATCACATCACTGACATCACACATGATATATGACCTACCAATCCAAAACAAAACTCGGCAAGCTTTTGTTTGTTCCTTATTGATTCGACTTCGTAAATCACACGCACATGATGTTTTTGTTTCTCTCTCTCTCTCATACACACACACATACATATATATATATATATATATATATCATCTATGGATATAATTAGGACGAGAGTTCACTGAATAACTACAAATGGTAATAAAATGAGAGTTGACAGATAGTTATCAAGTTAATAATGTAAAAATTTAAAATTAGTGGATTAAGAATTTTTATTTAATTTTGAAATTGATAACGATTCAATTAGCAATTAAATTTAAAAATAAGGGTCATATTTAATTTGTTTAATATCAAAATAAATAAAAATTTAAAAATATTTAAACCAGAAGATATTGGTTAATTTCAAAATCAATGTCCATTGTGTGTTAACTTTCTCAAATAAGGCTTAAATATGTTAATATGTTGCTTGTAAGGTTTAAAAACTTTTTAATAAACTATTGTGGTGTTGAAAATGAAGTACTAATAACGTCATTGGTGATTAAGATGAATAGCTTTAAAATTAAATGAAAAATGTGTGGAGTGGGTCCTTTTGGTTGGTAGGCATTGAGATGAAAATTAAGCGACAATGACTTGATTTGGGCTCTTTTTAGCTTTTTCTATCCGGGCTTTTCCTTCTTTCGTGCTCACCATCGTGCATTTAACGTTGCACAATGCACATTGTAACGACATTTAATTTCAAATTCTTCTATGCAACTTCTAACACTAACTCGTCCATACGGATTACTCCTTTTATCCAATAAATGTAACTCATCTATTTTCCAATTATCTCATCCAAATTGTCACTTTGAAAATTTCAACTATTAAAAATCTTATTTTCTTTTTTATTATTCTCTTAACTTTTCACTGTATTCAATTTTTCAGGAAATAAAGCATCTTTATAATTAATTTTCATCATGTATTTTATGAGAAAAAACCTTACTAAAACTACGTAAAAAGAGTATAATTTAGTGTTGCAGAACAGAAAGGATGACAGCTTAAGAAGTGAGCACAGTGGGGAACTGTGTAAATGCTAGTTAAGTCGAGAGCTTTAGCTTTATCCAGATTCCAAAAGACAAGTGGCAACGGAAGAGGGAGGGGGGCAACTTTTTACGTGTTTCTAGCAATGGAATAATAATAGTAATAATAATCACATGAATTAACATCACTGGGTCAGAGTGATTGGCCAGTGACTTGTACCAAAAATGTTGCAGCCTTTGTCCTCGAGGACATTTTCATTCCTCTTAACTTCATTAACGACATTAATTCAAGATCATAAGTGAGTCCTGATTTCGAACGTGAAAATAAGAGAAATAATCAAGAACCTAAAAGTTTCTGATATTTCCCCCATTAAATTAAAACCTTTTATAAGCAATCTTTGGAGACATGCATTGACTAAGTTCGGAATTTGAATAGTTCAAGCTACCGGATACCATAAAAGAAAGGAAAAAAAAGGTAAATCATATTTTGGGAAGCATCAGTCAAAGTTCATTTGCATGAAGCATTCAATTCCCTTTTCCTCTAACTGGAAACTCCTAAAACTACAATTCCCTTATTTTTTTTTTGGTGGGGGGGGGGGGCGGTACTGGAAAATTTAAGAGTGCCAAGAGTGGTTTTATCTCCAAACCAAATTGTCAGCGAAAAATAGCAGTGATCAATTGCCCTACAGCTCATCCTGCATACAAAACACAATCATTGATCAAAAAACATATAAGAAATTGATTAGTTAGGTCATGACATCAGAATAATTACTCACATGTAAATCTTCCTTGGCCTCATCGTCTGATTTGGTATCAGAATCAGACTCGTGTCCTTCAGCGTCATCGACATCATCATCTTCATCCTCAGCCTGGAAAAACGGGTAACACAATAAAAAAAACCAAAAAATAGCAAACAGAACAATCATATTTTTGAAAATGTATGTTGCATTCTTACATCAGAATCAACTGAGTCATCCTTTGATTCCTGAAGATCATGTTTCCATTAATTAGAAAGGAAAAACAGCAAGTACAAGTAATACTGAAACTAGATGTTTCTCTAGTCAAGAAAATACCTCCTCCTCCTTTTTCTCAGCCTCCTCAAATGCTGCCTTCTCAGCCTGCAAAGCCAATTACATCAGGAATCAGCCAAATATGACAATAGAATTATGAGAACATAAAATACAAAGATTCACATACATCCTTCTGCTTGCCCCATGTTTCTTCAGCTACTTTCTTGGCATACTCTACGTCATCGGCAACTAAGATGTTATCAAACATTGTTCCAGATTTCACCTGCAAAAAACAAACGTTTGTCTCGTTATATAGTTATAAAATAAGTCGCAATGATAACATGATAGTAGGCAAAAGGGTACCTGCCACAACTCAATACCAACATACTTCAAGTTAGGGAAAACATAGAGATCTGGATCATCCTTGAAATCTATGGACCATAGAAAAGCATATGATTAAATAAACTATCACACTACGTAGTTAAATGTAAAAAGAAAAAAAAGGCACAACAGAAATGAGCAAGCAAAAGACCTGGATTGTCAATCATTGGTGCCTTCCACTTGCCCTTGTAGTTGGGGTTCTTGATTTTCTGAAAAATAGAGGAAGAATTGTTACAAGTTGCTAGCTCAAAAGCCATGCCATATGTTGCAATTAGGTAAGGATCTCACAAACCTTTGGCTTCCATGGGCCCTTGTACTCAGGGTTGGGAATTGTTGGTGCTGTCCATTCACCATCTTCCTCATCATCCCAATCTTCGGGCTGGGGTCGATGATTTTAATTAATAAATTTTAGTTCAAACAAGACATTCTAAAAAGAAATAAATAACTACCTTCTTAGCCTCGGGATCAGTAATTTCTTTGGGAATGTCATCATAACCCTGTGATACCAAAACACTAGACGTTAGTTGCCTATTCATCTTCAGACAGTACATATAATGTAGCATAAGAGAATGTTATTACCTCTGCCTTTTTGTCTTCAGGATCAGGGATGTATTCCTTGTCATCCCAATCTTCAGGCTGCCCATCATGCAAAGTAGTCATGTTGTACTCAAAATGCATACGAGAAAAAAACAAACCAAAAAAGATAACAATTGAGATAGGGTATGACCAAGTACCTTCTTGGCCTCAGGATCCTTGATCTTCTTTGGTGGGAGAAGATCCCAATCAGAGTACAAGCTACCAGTTTGTTTCTCAACATTGTCAATAAGGATACTGTAGGTAGCATCTGGTCGAAGAATGAATGTATAAACATGAGTGAGTTGGTCAGTCTCACAAGGAACTTCCTTTTTGATCAAGTGGTTTGTCCCGTTGTAGGTAAGAATAGCATGTACTTTCTTGGTGCTGTAGCCACAGATATCAGGCCCAAACATGATGCTGCAACCAATATAAGAAAAAAAAATCAGTAAATCTAACGATAATATCTATTAGAGATATGAATAGGTTAGAACACAGGGCATGAGACAACCTGTATGGGGTATCACCACCAAATTTTTTCTGGTCAATGTCACCACTGAGCAACTTCATGTAGCCACCACCACAGTCAAGCTTTTGCTCATGCTTCACAGAAAATTGGAAGACTAGAGTCTTGTCCTTGTTGTTAACTTCAGGGAACTCAGCCGAAATGGCATAGAACCGGTAGTCTTCGCTGGTTTGAATACCTGTACAGGATGCAGAGCCAGAAGTAACTAACTTGAAAAATAGGCTTTTTCTACAAGTTATGAGTGATTCCAGAAGGTTACCTTTGTCATTAGGATCTCCATTCCATTTTCCAGAAGTGTAGTTCCATTCCCCAGCCATGTTCTCATCTTTCTTCCAGTCAGATTTTACCCACCGACTTTCCCATCCATCTAAAGTTTCACAACAATAGAAAAGCAAATAAGCCAAAAAAGTTTGCAATCAAAGCTGTATGAAAACTGCGAAACATAAAATACGTACAATTAAAGCAAACGCGGCTTCCTTTTCATATGTTCTCCCACATTTGTTAAAATGAATACAGAATCTAATGAATGTAACAAGCAAAGTACGCTAAATTGGTACACATTTTGCTTTAATCTAATATAATATCTATAGATGCAGCTAAAAAGGATAATAGCATTTAACAATTTCCCTCTCACTTTCATAAAAACTAACGTTTTCACCCCCTTATCTTTCATCTCACATAAACAAATACCCGATTCGCAATTATCAATGAAAAATGAGGAATAAATAAATTTTGAAGAAAAAAACCCGCAGGACAATATATTAATCATCATTCCTTTTTATTATCCTCTACAGTTAAAGATCGATTCAAACATTAGTGACTGTAACATTCACCGTCATTTCTTATCGCAATTAAACTACATTTTTCTAACGCTAATTTTATCATAAAAAAATGTAGAACTAACTTAAGAAATCAGATTATCAGCCAATCTACTAGAACGAAATGCATTTCTAAAGGTAATCAAGCATTTGAGTAAATAAACAAATAAAAACAACTCGATTGCCAAATGAAGCATAAAAATCACCGATTCGTAAAAAATAGACCAAAGTGAAAGCTAAAACATTTTAAAATCATATTCAAGTGACAAAAAACAAGCCGATCTAAAGGTTCAGATAGGACGGACAAATTTAGAAAAGAAAGCGGAGAGAAATGGAGTAAAGAAAGGGTTTACCTTCGAAGCGTTCTTCGAAGAAAACCTCAGCAGAGGCGATGGCGAAGAGAGAGAGGAGAATCAGAGAGACAAAATTTGGTAATCGTTTGTGAATCGCCATGGCCGACCTCTTCGAAGAGCGAAAAAAGTAGAGCTGAGCCCGAGAGTAGGTTCCTCTATATATATTCGTTGAATTCACTGGTTTCTGCGGTCGAGTTAAAAGTGAGATATTATGCTGTTTTGACGTGGACGACTTATCTGAAGACATGTCATTCGTTAGTGTCATTGGATTGACATGGCACGATACTATTGGGAAGAAGTTTCGCATGACACGTAGGAAAAGGTTTGCTTATTTTGCTAGGGGTTTAAGGAGTTACGATTTAAAATTTTTGATTTTAGTTGTAAACTACTTTCCTCGTGTCTGCTCATTATTGGCTGATATCCATCGGTTTTAAAGTAACACAAATTGTCTGTTTGTTTCCGTGATTATCTGCAAAATATTTTTTTTATTTACTGGTGTTTGGTTGTTGGAAAATAAATTATTAACGTAATTAATTTTTATAATTTTCTTTATATTTTTTAAAAGATAACTTATTAGTTGATTTTCTATAAATTATTTTTTAAAATTGTCACTTCAAATATTAATATTTGAAACAATATTATTATATAAATTTAATATTAATATAATATTTTAGTATTATTTTAATAAAAGTATTAATTATTAAAATATATTATTAATGAATTTAATAATAGTATATTATATTTTTTAGTATTATAATAATATAATAAACTATATTTTCATAGCACGAACCAATTTATCTTAATAGATAAAATAATCTTTATTATTCTTAGAGGTCACGAGTTCAAACACCAACGATTGCAAGGGTGGTTGAACATTTATTATCAAATGATCAAGAATATTTATAATATATATTACTTTGTAATCATCTTAACTTAATAAAAAAACTATATTGTCATAATATATAATATTATATTTATATTATTAAATAATTATTTATTATACTTGATATTTATAATAAATATTTTTTTTAAAATAACCACAAATGGAAAATGATTTTCAAAATTTATTTATCAGAAAATGTAGTTCATTTTATAAAATTTATTTTCCGTAAAATAAAATGACCAAAGTATTGTTTTAGGGCAAATTTGCATTGATGATGTTGTTGAAATTTTTTTTAGGGAATGGTGTATATTTTATTTATTCAAATGAGATGGATATTATAGTGTTTTGGAAGACGTTATGACGTTTTCGGTAGGAAATGTAGGGAAAACACAACATATTTTTATATGTTTGTTTGAGAAAACGACAAGTTTTCCATATATCTTTTTGCCGAAGATGCCAGGTGATTCAGACGTATTTCCAAACACTGTAACATTTCTCTTATTTGAGAAAATGAAGTCCAATGATATTTATTATTTATTTATTTATTTTACTTTCCTACTTGATTGATTTTGTCATTATTTTAGACTTTACTCGATATAATGGAGATAAAAAATATAATATATTTTTATTATATTTGTTGAAAAAAATTATACTAAATTTTACAGATGTAAACAGTATAATGTTACAAAATATTATAAAAATAAAAGTATATAATTAAGATATAAAGTTAACAAATAAAATGTTACTAAATCTTATAAATAAATAGAAAATATAATTAAAAACTTAAATTTAATTATGAAATTAAAAGAGGTAGTTGGGATTGTGTAAGTTTAATTAAAAAATGTGATCTTGAATTTTTTTAAATAATTCTTTTACAGAAATTAATAAAAAAATTAGCAATGATATCTCTCTCTTATTTATGAGGTGTATATATACGAGAAATGAAGATTATCAATTTATCACTAACAATCATGAATAACAAGAGTAAATTAAGATTACACAAAAAGTTGGTAATGAGAGTAAATTATTTAAATTAAATTAATAAAATAAAAAATATTCATTAATCAGCTAAATGGTTAATAATACTCGTATATTCTATCTTATTATGGGTTTGAAAATATCAATTTTTTTAAGAGAAAATAACCTCAGTGATCAAAAATCCCATATAATATACGATTTTAACCAATTTTTTCCGGATTTGCCAAAATGACCAACAAAATCGCAATGCGATCGCTAATTCGCAACGCGATCTCCATTATCGCAAATTCGCGTTGCATTTTCGCAATGCGATAGTTGAAAATCGCGTTGCGATGGTCTACAGTATCGTTGCGATTTTCCCAATTCGCAATGCGAATAAGTAAATCGCAACGCGAATTGGGAAAATCGCAATGCGAATAAGTAAATCGCAACGCGAATTGGGAAAATCGCAATGCGATACTTACTATCGCAATGCGATAATACAAAATCGCAACGAGATACTTACTTTCGCAACGCGATACTGACTTTCGCAACGCGATTTACATAGCGCCATTCGTATTAACGCGTATTTTTTTTTCAAATTCCAAACACGTATTTTTTCTTAATAAATCGGAAAATGAACCGTCCACAGTAATCGCAACTCATAACCTCAAACCCAAAAACACAACACTCAGTCTCATCTCCATCTCTCACTCTCTACGGCGAAATCCGTACCCATCTCCGAAGATTTCCGTCCCCATCGCCGGCGAAATCCCTCACAACCATTCACAGTCAAAAATCCCTCACAATCATTCAGAAATGGAAAATCAACCTACGAGGGTTAGTTTTTTTTTTTTTTGTTGAAATTTTTGCATTATTTTAGGTTTTTCATATTGAGATTGATGATAAGTTTACTGGTAATTTCAATAATAGATTAACCATTTCACTTAGATTTCTTATTAAATTCATTCGATTGCTGCCAATACTGCTAAACTGTTTAGCCTGTGAAGTTAGTATTTATCTTTGCTTTGTCTTTTGGTTGAAGTAATGCAGAAGAAGAATAGTTTCGAGAATGAAAATCGCAACGCGGAAATAACTATCGCAACGCGAAATAAAAATCGCAACGCGAAACCAAAATCGCATTGCGATTTTCATTTCGCGTTGCGATTTTCATTTCGCGTTGCGATTTTCATTTCGCGTTACGATTTTTATTTCGCGTTGCGATTGTCTGGTCGCGATAGTCATTTCGCGTTGCGATTCTCATTATCTCGTTGCGATTTTCATTTCAACCAAAAGACAAAAACAGTGTTGCAAATTTTAGTTTCAAGAATAAACTACTATTTAAATTGTTTTGTTTTTGGTATATCTTGACAGTGTAATTTTTGGTATATCTAACTTGGTATGTTTATTGTTTTTTTGTAGAAATTTTTTTCGGCTTCATTGACATTAAGGAATAAAGTTAGCCTAGCCACTACAATTGCTTCGAAGCTTTCACATGCACAAAGAAAATTGTTTGAAGAAACCTGCTTCGGGCCATGGCTGAGAGTACAACATCCGGGTGGAGATGCTAGTTTGACCCATTTGTGGCTTCAGACCATGACTAGCGATCTACCCGACAGTATACAACGTGGTGAGGAAGAGATATGGTTTCATTTTCCACCGGCGTATACTTGTTTTGGGCGGAAGGAGTTTTGCTTAATCACTGGTCTACGATTCGGACACGATGATGTAGGCCGGTACACTCGTCATATCACCCGCCCATCATGGTTATCCAGGGTTTTTCCTGATGAGTCAATAGAGAAGCCGAACTTACACGTCGACGACATGAAGAAATTGTTTAATAAGAAAGATGGTTTTACTCGGATGAATGACGTCGATGTTGTCCGAGTATGCCTTCTACTACTTTTGTATGCCGGCTTTCTAGGCAGAGAGGCCAGACAACCTATTCCTCAGGAGCTAATATTATTGGTAGAGGACCTAAATGCATGGAATCTGTTTCCGTGGGGTTCGTATATATGGAAAGCTACTTGGACTAAGTTGTCGTCTGCCTTTGATGACCGCAAAAGTTTGCGGGGCGATGAGTCGAAATACACATTGTCAGGCTTTGTTTGGGCCTTTAAGGTAAGAATTTCTATATAATGTTTTCAAAATTATAATTAATTATTTAACAATTACTAATGTTTGTTATTATATTGTTTGTAGATTTGGATATTCGAGGCTTTCCCCAGCATGCGGACATATGCATTAAAATCCTCAGATGATATTCCTAGGGCTATTTCCTGGAAGAGGAAACGTATGTTGGATTGGGAAGACTTAATACCATATGTGACAATAAATAATGTAAGTTAACACAAATACTATCATATATAAACAAGTTATTAATAGTAGACGTTTAACTTTGTTTAGTTTTTATTATATTTTTAGGAGGCCAACACTCCATTAATGAGACTGACACCCACGGAGGCTGAGCTTGCCACTGATTGGTGGCAAGCTAGTCAGCATTTTTTTGATGGCACGAATGATGAGCAGCCTCCACTTCCTCCACTTCGAGAGCCATCACCTCACCCAGAGCCATCACCTGATCGACCCGACTATACACCTCTACAACGAGAGCCATCACCTATCCCGTCACATCATCGAGTCTCTTCTCCACCATCACCTCATGATAGGCGACCGACAAAGATGCCACGACTTCTATCTCCCTGTTCTCCACCTCCACGGGATGAGTCAAGGGAGTTACGTGATGAGGTCAATGCCTTGCGTGAGGAGATCGGTACTCTACGCGATAACGATGGTGCATGGCGTGTGGAGGTATATACTTTACGTGGTGAGGTTACCGCTCTACGTGAGATGGTAGTATCGTTGCAGAATGAGGTTCATACTCTACGCAACGAGGTAAGTTTAAGATTTTCCATATTTAACTTGATGATAAATTTACTCGTAATTTCACTTAAATTAACCATTTCACTTAGATTGCTTAGTAAATTTATTCGGTTGCTGCCAAAACTGCTAAACTTTTTACTTTAACACTGTGAAGTTAGTATTTGTCTTTGTTTTGTCTTTTGGTTGAAAGTTTGAAATATATTTATCTTTGTTTTTACTGTTTAAATATCATGTCTGTTTATTTACTGATATTTGTATTTTTATTTAGCAGACCGATAAGGTGGATGCTTTACGTCGGGTTTTTCTTGCACGACAGAGTTCACACATCAGACGGCGTGCACGTGCTATTAAGTCTCCGTATACCCCAATAGTGCGAAGACACCGCAAGAAGAAGCCCGACTCGCCTATCATTC